AACAACATATATGTATATAAATAAAATCTATCTAATTATATTTATCTCATATATTTGACCACTATATATAAGATTCATGTATCTTTTAGATATCTATCTATCTATCTATCTATCTATCTATCTATCTATCTATCTATCTATCTATCTGTCTATCGATCTAGGAATCTGGTGGCCTAGTAGTAAGGAGCTACACTACCAACCCAAAGGTTTATAGTTCAAATCTTTCAGGAGAAAGAAGCACAATCTTCTCCTATGCAGTTTACAGCATCTGACAATATGTTAGAATGTCAGCTATGAGTAAGATATATATATCATGGGAGAAAGATGGGTAGTTTTCTCCTGTGCAGTTTACTGACTCTGAAAACTCATTGGAAGATCAGCTATGAGTCTGTCCCAGTTAGACAGTACACAACAACAATAACTATATCTATATCTATATCGATATATATACCTCAGGCATGGGTAATCTTAGTCATGACAATGGAATATAAAAGCTGAAGTTTTCTTTAAACATTTATTATTTTCAAATTATATAAAAGTCTAAAATATATATAAATTCTATATCTCAAGTATATCAATAAATAGCTAATCTATATAACATGAAACATACTTAAAATATATATTATATATAAATATACGTAAATATACAACTTATCTCTCTTTTAAGTATATATTTCCAATTTGAAAGACATATAAACTCTAATCTTACTCTTAACTTTCTTATAAACAGGACCATTGCTATTGCTTTGACTAAGATAAGTTATCATCAAAAATTTTATACCATTCAGATACTCATGGCTAATGTGCTAGGTCTGGACACTTGTAAACATTATAAAGAACGACAATCCAATCTTCAGAATAAAGTCAGCAAACTGCTGGATGAAAAGTTCCACTGTCTTCTCAATGACATTTTCCATGTCCAGGTAACTATAGCCAGTACTATACTTCTACAAGAAATAGCAATGGAAATAGCACAATTTCTGCCTGATGCTTTACAACTTAGCATCTCTTTGGTCTTTGTTATCTTTTCTTTTTTTCAAATGGTTCCCTAGGCATCCTGGAGTACAGGCCCACATTATTTGTAAGTATTGGAGTTATCTTGAAATACTACACTCAAGGAAAGCTCATTGGCCATAACAGATTCAATTTCTCCTCACTTTCCATCATTACTAATCTAATTCAAGGCACAAAGTCACATTGTTCCCCCAGCTGACAGCCATTGGAAATATAAAATGTGGTCCATTCTTTCCTGCTCAGATTAAATTTAATGACAAAGTATCAGAGCTGGAAGCAATGTTGTAGATTATACAACATATGTAAGGAACCTCTGGTGGCTTAATGGCAAGAAACTGCTCTGCCAATGTAAAGATATGTAGTTCAAATCCACCATCAGCTGCTCTGTGGGAGAAAGATGGCCAATCAAATCCTGTGCAATTTACTGCCTCTGAAAATCCTCTGGAGGGTCAGCTATGGGTTAGTTCTGAATCTACAGTACACAGAAACAATACATACAGTAAAGTGATTGTTCAAAGTCACACAGTAGTAATTACATTTACTATAGTCCCGTATTCAGTACTCTGATAATTTTTTTTTATTTTAATGAAAGTTTACAGAGACTTAGGGTTTCCAGTCATTCACTGTTGCACTTTTCCCACTGCCCACCCCCTCCCCGCAATTCACTCTTCTCCTTGAAAAGTAAAAGAAAAACTCTTTCATTGTTATGCAATCCCTCCCCCCAAGTCCACTCCACTGTGCAGCCTTCATTCTGGACTCCTGTCATGACAACAATACCCATTCACATCTACCTCATCTGTTTCAGTGCAGTATATATTATTCCTCCCCTGCTTCTCTGTCTTCCCTCAACCCCATTTTACAACAGTGCCCCTATGGAATATTTGTCCTTTTGTGACTCAGATCTTTCACTCAGCATAATGTCCTCCAGGGTCATTCATGTTGCATAATATTTCATGAGTTCCTTGTTTTTCAATGCTGCATAGTATTCCGTGTGTTAATATACCAGAGCTTCTCTATCCATTTGTTTGTTGATGGCACCTGGGTTGTTTCCAGCTCTTTGCTATTGTGAACAAAGCTGCAATAAACATAGGTGTGCATAAATCTGCTTGAGTGGCAGTTATGGTCTCTTTGAGGTATATTCCCAGTAGTGGAATTGTGGGTCAATTGGTATTTCTATTTGCCACTTTTTGAGAAATCGCCATACAGCCTCCCATAGTGAATAATGAGAATTCTTTTTTTACAGTTTCCCATTTCACGGGAGGCTTCCAAGATGAACATCTTGAAAAAGCAAAAGCAACTGGAAGCACTATTTATGAAGATTTTGGAACAAGTAAGAGCATCTATAGTAAAGAAATGAAGGTTGGAATGAGAAAACTAGGCATCTCTTTACAAAGCTAGGGGGCCTGAGAAGCTCAAATCCCTTTGGCAATAATTCTTGAAGCATACTTTATGCAAAATTGTATCCAAAAGAACTTCATTTTTATCCATCCTCCCAAATATCACCCTAAAAATTTGTTCAGAATTTAGATACACTTAAAACGAGACCTCATTATCCCTTTTGGGAAGTTGACTTCTCCCTGAAATTAGTCCAACCTTCAATTCTCAGTATTTAGAGTCAGCCACTTTAACTTCTTTTAGTAGGTCTATCAGGTTATGTTTATTTAGCTTCTTTCTGACTTTTCCTTTTACCTAACCCCCTTAGTGGAGCTCTGGTGGCCTACTGGTAAGGAGTTGCATTGCCAACTAAAAGGCACTTAGTTTGTATCCATCAGCTGTTGCATGGGAGAAAGATGGACATGTCCTCCCAAGTATTTTACTGCCTCTGAAAATTCACTGGATTATCAGATATAAGTTGGTTCTAGTTCTAGGTTTGGTTTTTAAAAAAAAAAAAAAAACAAAGCAAACAAATCCACAACAAATAATAACCTTAACCCTTTGCATGTGTGCTGTTTTCACTCTCCATAAAGGGATTTAGTTGTTGATGTTGTTAAGTGCCATCAAATCAAGTCTGACCCATAGCAACTGCATGAATAATAGATCTGCAGCTTGTTCCGTCCTGTGCCACCCTCATCTTCTCTGAAATATTTGAACCCATTGCTGAAGTTACTGTGTCAATCCATCTGGTTGGGAGTCTTCCTCTCTTTGGCTGACCTTCCACCTTTCCAAGCATGATGTCCCTTTCTAAGAAATAGTCCCTCCTAACAAAATGTCTGAAGTCTATAAGACAAAGCCCATCCTTGTCTATAAGAAGCACACTGACTCCACTTTCTCCAAGATATTTCTGTTTGTTCTTTATCCCATTAGTCCATGGGATACTTTGCACTCTTCTACAATACTGTGGCTCAAAGGCATCAATAATTCTCCTGTCATCTTTATTCATTGTCCACTTCTTAAATGTATAGCAAATGACTGAGAATACCATGGCCTAAATCAGGCACATCTTGGTCTTAAAACTGGTATCATTGCTCCTTAGTAATTTGGAAAGGTCCCTTACTTCAGACTTGTTTAATAGAATGCCTCTTCTGATAGCCTAACTGCTCGTACAAAGGGTGTTGATTTTGGATACAATAAGATAAAATCATTGACAATTTCAACCTTTTCTCCATCTGTCAAGACATTGCTCTAAGCAATATTTGTCCTTTTGTGACTGAGATATTTCACTCAGCATAATGTCCTCCAGGGTCACCCATGTTGTATAGTATTTTATGGGTTTCTTCTTTTTCATTGTTTTCCATTTTGTGAATATACTATCCTTTTCCTATCCATTCATTTGTTGATGGGCACTTGGGTTGCTTCCATCTCTTTGCTATTGTGAATAACACAATAAACATGGATGTACATATATCTGTTTGGGTAGCAGTTCTGGTTTCTTTATGGCATATCAGGTCCTCTTGACTTTCAGCAAACAAGATTGTGCCATCTCATAGCAAAGGTTATTGATGAATCTTTCTCTGATCTTAATGCCACATTCTTCTTCATAGAGTCCAGCTTCTCAAATGATTTGCTCAGCATACAGATTGAATAGGTAAGAAGAAATGATATACACACCTTTCTTGATTTTAAACCATCTGGTGTTCCTTAGTTTTGTTTGGAGAACGGTTTCTTGGCTTAGGTATAGGTTTCTTCTCAATGTCAGTAAGTTTACTTATACAAACTTCAATGTTTTCTCATTTTCTTTTCCTATACAACTTTATCTTGATCTCTTTTTGAGATGTTCCTTGAAGCTGTCTGTTCATCTCTCTCACTTCAACTTTTCTCATTTTGCTTTTACCTCTTTGTGTTTTAGAGAAAGTTTCAGAGTCTATTCTGAAGCATTTATTCTGGATTACTAATTTTCTTTTTCTTTACAACTTGTCTTTATTTTGTTTTCATGAACTGCTCCTTGAAATTGTTGATTCATCTCTCTTACTTCATCACTACTTTCTTTTGTTCTCTTTATGTTTTAATGTAGGGAGCTCCAGTGGCTTAGTGGTAAGGAATTGTACTTAAAATGCAAAGGCACATGGTTCAAATCCACCAGTTAGTCCATAGGAGAAAGATAAACAATCTCCCATGTGATTTACTGCTGCTGAATACCAGCTGAAGGGTCAGCTCTGGGTTGGTTCCCACTCAGTGGTACACAACAATAATAACAACGTGGTTTTGGTGCAAGTTGCAATCTCTTTTGACATCTAATTTGATCTTTTCTTTCTTTCATGTCTTTGTAAGAGATTTTGCTTTCTTCATGGATGATGCACTTGATGTGATCCCACAAGTCATCTGGTCTTTAGTCATTAGTGTTCAAGGCATTAAATCTATTCTTGAAATGTTTGTTCAAGTTGGAATAGACTCAAGGTTGTCTTTTGATTCCATGAATTTGTTTTTATTTTTTCCATCTTCAATTCAAACTTACACATGAATAATTGACGATCTGTTCCACAAGCAAATCCTAGGTTTGTTTTGACTAATAAGAAATACTGAACTTTTCATCAACTCTTGCCACAGATGTAGTCAATATGCACCAACAATCAGAGCCAAAGAGGAGGAAATAGATCTTTCTACCAACATTTGAAATCAGAAATCTATCAAACATACAACCAAGATACATTAATAATAATGGGTGACAGGAGCGCAAAAATTGGGAACCAGAAAGAGGATCATTAGTCAGAAAACATGGAGTTGGTGACAGAAATTAGGCTGGAGATAGAATGATAGAATTCTGCACAATGAATGATTTATTCATAGTGAATACCTTTTATTAGAAACATAAACACAGGTTATACACATGAATATCGCCTGATGGTATGCACAGGAATCAGACTGATTGCATCTTTGGAAGGAATTGTTGGAGAAGTTCATTATCAGCAGTGTAAACTAGGCCAGGTGCTGATTGTGGAATAGACCATCAACTACTCATATGCAAGTTCAAAGTAAAGCTAAAGAAGGTAAAATCAAATACACAGAAATAAAATTTTGTCCTTGGGTCTTTCCCACCTGAATTTAAAAACTAACTCAGGAACAGGTTTGAAGCCTTGAACACTAATGAATGAAGACTAGATGAGCTTGAGGGGATATCAAGAGTGTTATACAGTAAGAATGAAAAAGGCCATATTGAAGATGGAAGAAGAAAAGACCAAAATGAATATCAGAAGAGACTGAATATTGCACTAGAGCGCTGAGAAGCCAAAGCAAAGGGAAGTAATCAAGAAGTTAAGGAGCTAAAGATTTGAAAGGGCAGCAAGGGAAGACAAAGTAAAGTATCATAACAAAATGTGCAAAGAACTGGAGTCTGAAAATCAAAAGGGCCATACTCACTTGTCATTTCTTCAGCTGAAGGAACTAAAGAACAAATTCAAGCCTTGAGTTGCAATACTTAGTGATGCTTTGGGTAGAATGCTGAATGATCCAGGAGTATTAAAAGAAGGTGGAAGGAGTATACAGAGTCACAGTAGCAAAAAGAATTGGTTGGCAGAAAGCAAAAAGTTCCAGAGGGATATTTGTGTTTCATTGACTATGCAAAGGCATTTTACTGTGTAGATCCCAACAAATTGTGGTTAACCTAGAGGAGAATGAGAATCCCAGAACACTTGAATGTGCTTATGCGAAACCTATACTTGGACTAGGAAGCAGTCCTCAGAACAGATCAGGGAAACACTGTATGGTTCAAAATCAGAAAGGGAGTGTGTCAGGGATGTGTCCTGTCTCCATGCCTTTTCAATCTATATGCAGAACAGACCATCTGGGAGGCCAGACTTTATGAGGAGGAATGTGGCATCAAGACTGGAGGAAGACTCATCAACAACTTAATTATGCAGATGACTCAACCTTGCTTGCTCAAAATGAAAAAGGACCTGAAGTGCTTGCTTCAGAAAGTCAAAGACTGTAGTCTTCAATATGGATTGAAATTCAACATCAAGAAGACAAAAATTCTCACCACTGGGCCAGTTGGCACCACCATGATGTATGGAGAAGGGACTGAAGTTGTTAACATTTACAGCTTGTTTCGCCCCACAATCAACACTCTTGCCACCAGCAGTCAGGAAATCAAAAGATGAATTGTATTAGGTAAATCTGCTGTCAGGGACCTTTCCAGAGTACTGAGAATCAACGGTGTCCATCTAGAGACTAAGATGTGCCTTATCCAGTCCATAGTCTTCGCAATTACATGCTATGCATCAGATAACTGGATAATTATTAAGGATGATAGAATGAGAATTGATGCCTTTGCGTTGTGGAGCTGGAGAAGAGTCTTGAATATATCATGGAGCATGAAGAAAACAGGTCTGTCATGGAGAAGGTGAAACCAAGTTTCTCCTTGGAGGCTGGGATTTTGAAGCTCCATCTTACTACTTTGGGCATGTGGTCAAGCGAGACCAATTTTTTTTGAGAAGGGCATCATGCTCTTACAGGTGGAGGAACAGAGCAGGAGAGGAAGACTCCAGATAAGATGGATTGATACAGTGACTAAGGCAATGGGGGTAGGTGTGTTTTGGAGTCAGTGAGACTAGCTCAGGACAGGCAGGCTTCACAAAGCTTTTATACATAGGGTCACTATGAGTCACAGGCAACTTGATGGCACATAACAACATGAGGACAAATACTGCATAAGACCACTATTCTGAAAATACAAGCATAACTGAACAGGATATGTATAAATGTTCAAAAGGAGAGGGAGAATGAGAGAAAAGGACCAGAAGAAGGTGAAGCGGGTGGGTGGACTCACTAGGTAGCAGAGATTAATGAGTGGAGAGGGATGATGTGAAGAAATAGGAAAGATTCCATAAGGAATTAAAGAAATGGGATGATAATAGGCATGTTGTTGTTGTTGTTGTTGTTATGTGCCGCCGAGTCGCTTGTGACTCATAGCGACCCTATGTACAACGGCCCTAAACTCTGCTCTGTCCTGTGCCGATCGCACCGTCTCTGACACTCCCATCCCGATTATCCCAGTCACTGAATCAATCCACCTCATAGAGGGCCTTCCCCTCCTGCGCTGTCCCTCCACCCTCCCAAGTATGATGTCCTTCTCCAAGGACGGTCTCTCCTCACAACATGTCCAAAATATGTTAGACGGAGCCTCAGAATCCTTGCCTCCAAGGAGCCACCCCGTTTAACCCTTCCAGGACAAATCTGTTTGTTTTCATAATAGTCCATGGTACCCTCAATACTCTTCTCCAGCACCACAGCTCAAAGGCATCAATTCTCCTTCTATCCTCCTTGGTCATTGTCCAACTGTCTGACGCATAACAAGTGATTGTGAAGACCATGGCCTGTATCAAGTGCACCTTAGTCTCCAGAGAGACACCATTGCTCTTCAGTACTTTGGAGAAGTCCCTAACAGCAGATTTTCCCATGGCAATGCGCCTTTTAATTTCCTGGGTACTGGTGCCAAGAGTGTTGACTGTGGAGCCAAGCAAACTAAATCTGTGTACAATCTCAATCTCTTCACCATCCATCCTGATGCTGCCACTTGGTCCAGTGGTGAGATTCTTTAATAATAATTAATATATTAATAATACAATACATCTAGGTGAATGATTGCAAACAAACCAATTAAAAAACTTCATAAGCTACACTACCAAAAAGAAAACCCCATAAACAACTCAATGAACACACATGCATGCCCTTATTGGTGTTGTTGTGTACCATTGAGTTGGAACCAATTCGTAGCTGACCCTCAGCAGTTTTTCAGAGGCAGTTAATCACACAAGAGGAGATTGCCCATCCTTCTCCAGTGGAGCAGCTGGTGGCCTTTAACTGCGTGCTTCTGATATTGCAGCATAGCTCCCAACTCACATGAATTATAGAGTAGCATCTCTTCATAGCGTGTAGGATTTTTTTAGGTTTTGTTGACTGTAATTTGTTTATTTCATTTTTTCTAATTTCATACTGGTTTAATTACAAAGCTTGTATACATTGATTTTCCACACTGGATCTTACCATTTCTTTCTTTTTTTTTTTTTGTTAGTTAAATTTTTTTTTCTATATTTTATTAATTTTCATAAACATTTACAGAGATTTTGGGTTTCCATTCATTCATTGTTGCACTATTCTCTCTACCCTCCTCCCAGTTTGTTCTTGTCCAAATGCCACAGTGCTTGTCAAAGCCAGTTCTGATTAATCTTCTTTGTCAGTGTGTCCTTTGCCATTCCCTATCACTCCTCCTTGAGAGAGACTTCACCCTGAGTCATAAGGAAAAGGGGATGGCGTATTCTCTTAGCTACTTCCTGCTGAAAAGGGACGCTGTGGGTTTCAGGGTGAAGATCTTCTCTCACTACTCTAAAGGACCCCTTTGGCAGTAGGAAACACATAGACTATTATGGAGATTGATTTTGGAATTTAGATGCACTCTTATTGATTGGGCTTGGCCGCACATGTTCATATCCTTGAAGATGTATCATGGGGGTGTTGCAACCTAGAAGACACAAATTTGACTAACAAGTTATAAGTACATGAGTCCAGAAATTATGGAAAAGTAAAAGAAAAGATTCTTTCATTGTTTTACAAACCCTCCCCCAGGTCCCCTCCACCATGTAGCCCTCGCTCTAGTCTCCTGTGATGACAGAAATACCTAGTTATATATCTCTTTTAAACAGTTTTCTCCCTCCTCTGTTTCAGTGCAGTATACATTATTGAACCCATCTTACTCAGTCTCTCCCCAACCCCAAGGACAGTCCCATTCTACAACAGTGGCATCATGTAATATTTGTCCTTTTGTGACTGGGATATTTGATCTTACCATTTCTTTCACTTCCATCTCCCTCAACCCATCAAACTCTGCGACCCTGTGATTATCCCCAAAAGCAGTGTAAAAGGTGTTTCTTCCATGGAGCTGTTCCTTCAAACTGTCAACTTTTACGCCTGCCATCAGATCACAAACTGTTTGCCATATTCCCAGGTTCATACAAATACACACATTAAAGTCTCATAGTGCTTTATTTTTTCCCTCTCTATCTTGTTCAGACAGCAAAAGAGGAAAGGGTTATTTTCATCATTGATGAGGCCCAGTTTGTGGATTCAGCCTCCTGGACCTTTTTAGAGAAGCTGATCCGAACTGTACCCATCTTCATCATCATGTCCCTGTCACCCTTCATCAGACCCTGTGTAGCAGCCAATGCTATCCTAAAGAATAGAAACACCACCTATGTCACCCTGGGTGCAATGCAGCCTACTGACATCCTCAACAAGATCTGTCTTGACCTCAATGTGAATGGCATCCGCAAAGAACTGGACTCGTAAGTAACCCATTTTATTCTGGAATTTTTGACATCTACATCCATTCCCCAGGTTTAGATTTCATCAGATTTTTTAGAATATGTCTGATAAGCTTAATACAGTACTGCTGCCACTCACTAGTTTTAGCAGAAGGAGTGCTACTTACTTTTTCCTTGTTATGATTCTCATTATACCTCTCCAAAACTTTGTTTAGGTACATCAGTTGTGTTTCCCTTTTATATTCTGAGTGTGGGTATAATGGCTTTAATCATTAATGACCAAGGGCATCATCATGTTAAAGTGATATGAAAGGCAAGCTTGTAAACCATAAAGACCACAACCTACCCCTAAACAATATCTTACTGAGTGAGCTAGCAATAAGATAGTCAGATATTTAGTTTGCCTTATGGTAGATGTTTAAAGTTGACCCTTAATGAGTGCTTTCTGAATTTAGCAATTCTTTACTGGTTTTGACGGCAGTCTCCTTAATACACTGATTATTCTTAAGCTGTTTACAATGCCACTTTGGCATCAGCATCCTTCCTTTCTGGTGAGATTAAAACTTTGTTCGTTAAAGAAGGAAAGTTTAAAATAACTCCAAGGGAGCTCTGATGGCCTAGTGGCAAGAAGCTACGCTACAATCCCAAAGGTGCACAATTCGAAGCATCCAGATGCTCCACTGGAGAAGGAGGGTTAATCTCCTCCTGTGGCAGTAGGATCCGACTCAACGGTACACAACAAGAAAAAAAAATGACAACAAAAAAAGCACTAAAATAACTCCAAACAAATTCCATCCATATGAACATCTCTCTCGCTGTCAATTTCTCTTTCTCTCACACACAATTTTCACTTTCTCTCTCTCACACACATACACACTTGTGAATGCATTTACCTTTTTTACTCAAACTAGTTTTATAATATTAATTTTTAATGGAACTTATTACAGTGTCTAATCAACCCCTACTGTATATTCTCTTTTATTTATGTCACTCAGCAACATTGCCTCTAGATTTATCCTACCTGGTGCAATGTTTCAGAAATGTTTTATCATTGTTTTTTTGTTGTTGTTTTGCTAGGTGCCATCGGGTCAAGTACAACTCATAATGACCCTATGAACAACAGATCTAAGCCCTGTCCTATTCTGTGCCATCCTTGCATCTCCAGCACCCTTGAGACCATTTGGTGCAGTCATTGTGAGTCCATCTGGTTAAGTGTTTTCCTCTCCTTCGCTGTCCCTCCACCTTCTCCAAGGAATAAACTCTCCTAGAAGCATACTAAAAATATGTAAAATAAAGCTCTATCATCTTTGCCTCCATGGAACAAGCTGGCTGGCTGCACCTTCTTGGAAGTCTGTGGCATATTCAGCACTTTTCTCCAATGCCACAACTCAAAGGCATTAATTCTTCTTCTGTCATTCTTAGTCATTGTCCAGTTCTCAGATGTATTACAAGTGACAGAAAAAGCCATGGCCTGACGCAGGGAAACCTTAGCCCTCAAAATGACATCATGGCTCTTTAATAGAGAAGTAGCTGACTACAGACTTTCCCAGTGCAATATGTCTCTTGATCTCCTGACTGCTAGTACCAAGTGCATTGTTTGTGGATCCAAGTAAGATGAAGTCATTGACAATCTCAATCTTTTCTCCATCTATTGTGATGCTGCCTAATACTCTATTGAATGAATGTATCAGAGTTTCTTTAGCCATTTGTGTTTTGATACAACCTTTGGGTTCTCTCCATTTCTTTGCTATTATAAATGATGTTAGAGTGAACATGTGTGTACAGATATCTGTTTGTGTTATGGCTCTTATTTCTTCAAGATACATACATAGCAAAAGGATCGCTAAGTCAAATACATTTCTATTTCCAACTTGCTAAAGTAATGTCAAACTACTTTCCATTGTGGTTGAAACATTTCATATCCCACCAGCAGTCTATGAGGGTTCCAATCTCTCCACTCTCTCACCAGAATTTGTTGTTTGCTGTCTTGTTCAATTGTTACACTGTGGATGAGAGGAATCCACCAGTATGCATTATATAATGTCATTATTTGTCCCTTATGCTATTTTTTTTGTCTCAAAGTCTATTTTATGAGGAGTTAATATTGCAAATTCATGCTTTTTAAAAAATTGTTATTTGCTTGATACATGTTTCCATTTCAATTTTTTTAAGACATATAGCTTTATTTTTTATTTCATTTTTAGGAAACTATGTAATTTTGGTTTTTAAATAAAAATTTTCTTTTAAACTGGTTTATTTATAAAGTTAGTCTATCTCTGTGTTGAAGATGTGTTCTTATTGATGGTTCATGCTTCTTTGTCTATTATGCCACTCTTCCTTTCTTCTGGCACACTTAATCCATTCACATGCAGTGTAAAAAAAACAAGAGGAATGATTTTATTGCTGTAATTTTACTGCATTATTTTTTATTTCTTTTTAAAAATTAATTTTAATGAAAGTTTACAGAGACTGGATTTCCATTCATTCATTGTTGCACTTTTCTTCCTGCCCAACCTACCCCCCACCCAGTTCACTCTTCTCTTTAAAAAGTAAAAGAAAAACTCTTTCATTGCTATACAGTCTCTCCCCCCAGGTCCACTCCACTATGTAGCCTTCGTTTTGAAAAGTAAAAGAAAAATTATTTCATTGTTATGCAATCCCTCCCCCCAAGTCCACTCCACTATGCAGCCTTCGTTCTGGACTCGTGTCATGACAATAATACCTAATCATATATTCCCTTTAAATAGTTCTCTACATTTTCAGTTTCAGTGCAGTACACATCATTTATCCCATCTTTCTCAGACTCTTTCCAACCCCAATGTCAGTCCTGTTTTACAACAGTGGCACTATGCAGTATTTGTCCTTTTGTGACTGAGATATTTCACTCAGCATAATGTCCTCCAGGATCACCCATTTCGTATAATATTTCATGAGTTCCTTGTTTTTCAATGCAGCATAGTGTTCCATTGTATGAATATACCAGAGTTTCTCTATCCGTTTATTTGCTGATGGGCACTTAGGTTGTTTCCAGCTGTTTGCTATTGTGAACAATGCCACAGTAAACATGTGTGTGCATATATCTGCTTTGGTGGCAGTTATAGTTTCTTTATGGTATATTCCCAGTAGTGGAATTGCTAGATCGAATGGTATTTCTATTTGTAACTTTTTGAGAAAGCGCCATATGGCTTTCCATAGTGGCTGCACCATTTTACACTCCCACCAACAGTGAATAAGGGTTTCCCCAGGACCTCGCCAACATTTGATGTTTGCTGCTCTGTTAAATTTTGCTATTCTTACTGGGGTGAGATAATATCTCATAGTTGTTTTGATTTGCATCTCTATGGATTTTGAACATTAGATTTGATCTTGAACATTTGAACATTGATTTGCTAGGGATTTTGAACATTTCTTCATGTGTTTGTTTGCCATCTGAATGTCTTCTTTGGTGCAGTGTCTGTTCATATCCTGTGCTCATTTTTCAGTTGGGTTCTTTACCTTTATCTTGTTGTGGTGCTCCAGTATTTTATAAATTCTAGATATAAGTCCCTTATTGGACATGTCGTTGTTGTTGTTAGGTGCTGTCAAGTCGTAGATGACTCATAGCAACGCTATGAATGAAAGGCCTGAGCACTGTTCATAGAGTTTCCTGAGGCAAGCCATTTTGGAAATGGAATGCACTCCTGCTTCCAGGTTTATTTTAATCAGGATGTTCCAGCAAACACTGCCCACCATGAGTAACCATTATCACATTTGGCATATCAGTGTCACAGTGTTCAGCATCACAGCAACCATGAGTTACCTCCATACAAAAATGCACAAACCAGTGCTATACCACTTAGAAGAATGTTTGACAGAAAAGCCATTTGAACGTGGTCTGAGGGCAGCAAATTAAAATCACCCACCTTCTCCTTGATAGCATAACTTTCTGTCCACTAGGCCAATGTAGCTCTATGTCTTCGTTGTTATTGTTGTTAGTTGCCATCAAATTGTAGATGACTCATAGTGACCCTATGAAGCAAAGGCATGAGCACTGTTCATAGAGTTTCTGGAGGCAAACCATTTTGGAAGTGGATGCCACTCCTGTTTCCAGGCTTGTTTTAATCAGGAAGCTCTGGCAAATACTGTCCAACATGGATAACCATTATCACATTTGGCATATCGGTGTCACCAGTGTTCAGTATCACAGCAACCATGAGACATGTCATTACCAAACATTTTTTCTCCAGTCTGTGGCCTCCCTTTTTATCCTGTTGGAGAAGTTTTTGGGTGTGCATAGTGATTTGATTCTTAGAAGATCCCATTCATCTATTTTATCCTCTCCTGATTGTAGGTTTTTCAGGATGCTTGGATTAGGACTTCCAGAGTTCTTCCTAACTTTTCTCTAATGATGTTTATAGTCCTTGGTTTTAGTCCTAGGTCCTTGGTCCATTTTGAGTTGGTTTTTGTGTACAGTGAGGTGCGGATCTTGCTTGAGTTTTCTACAAATAATTTTCCAATTTTGCCAACACCATTTGTTAAAAAAGCTGTTGTTTCCCCACTTAATTGATTTCATCTGCTTGTTAAAAATCAGTTGACCATAGGTAGATGGTCATATTTCTGTATTCTTAATTCTATTCCATTGATCTATGTATCTGTCATTGTACCAGTACCACACTGTCTTGACCACCACGGCAGTGTATTAGGATTTGAAATCAAGGAGTAAGATGCCTCCTACCTTGTTTCTCTTTTTAAGGAGAGCTTTGTTTATTCAGGGCCTCTTTCCATTCCAAATGAAATTGGAGACTGCCTAGTCATTGTCCAACTCTCTGATGCATAACAAGTGATTGCAAAGACCATGGCATCATGGTATCAGACGTAACTTAGTTTCCAGAGAGACACCGTTGCTCTGCAGTACTTTAGAGAGGTCCCTAAAAGCAGACTTTCCTATCGCAATACATCTTTTAATTTCCTGGCTGCTAGTGCCAAGAGTGTTGATTGTGGAGCCAAGCAAACTAAAGCTGTAAACAATCTCAATCTCTTCACCATCCATCCTGATGCTGCCAATTGGTCCAGTGGTGAGAATCTTTGTCTTCTTGACATGGAGCCTCAATCCATATTGAAGGCTACAGTCCTTGACCCTCTGCAGCAAATGCTTCAGGTCCTCCCCAGTTTCAGCAAGCAGGATTGTGTCATCTGAATAACGCAGATTGTTGATAGATCTTCCACCAATCCTGATGCCACATTTCACCTCATAGATCCCAGCCTCCCAGATGATTTGTTCTGCATACAAGTTGAAAAGGTATGGATACAGGACACATCCCTGGTGTACGCCCTTCCCAATTTTGAACTATGCAGTGTTTCTTTGCTCTGTTCTGATGACCGCCTCCTGGTCCAAGTATAGGTTTCGCATTAGCACAATCAAGTGTTCTGGGATTCCCATTCTTCTCAGAGTCAACCACAGTTTGTTATGATCTACATAGTCAAACATCTTTGCATAATCAATGAAGCACAGATAGACATTCCTCTGGTACTCCCCACTTTCAGCCAAGATCCATCTAACATTAGCTACAATATCCCTAGTTCCACGACCCCTTCTAAACCCAGCCTGGACTTCTGGTAGTTCTCTGCTGATGTGCTGTTCAAGTCGTTTTTGGATAATCTTCGGCAGAATCTTGCTTGCATATGAAATCAATATCCAGAGGGATATTATTTAGGAAGTGGATTCCACTCCTGCTTCCAAACCTTTCATAGTAAGTTATTGTTGTTATGTGCCATTGAGTCACCTGTAATGTATAGTGACCCTATGTACAGCAGCTCTCCCTCTAAAAACCAGCTTCAGGGTCAGTACTTTAATTAATTCTTTTGGAGTAGATTTCTCCTCCAATTTAATAAATATTTTTATTTCTTGACTGCTGCTTCCATGGGCATTAGTCATTGTTTCTAACAAATAAAAAAATGTTGACAATCTCAACTTTTTCTGCATTTATTATGACATTTATTATTAGACTACTTATGTGAGAGGTTTTGCTTTTTTTATGTTGAAGTATATGATTTAGTGTTGTAGTTGTTTATCTTCATCAGTAAGCTTCACAAGTTTGCTTTGCTTTCATCAAGCAAAGTTATTCTATTTACAGGTTGTTGAATCTTCCTCCAGTCCTGATATGTTTTTCTTTATATAGGCTAGGATTATACCTGACCATATTCTTAATTGTGCTCATGTGAAATCTATACTTAGACCAGGATGCAGTCCTCAGAACAGAGCAAGGAAATACTGCATGGTTTAAAATCAGAAAAGGAGTGCATCATGGTTGTGAGGACCTGAAGTGTTTGCTGCAGAAAGCCAAGGACTGTAGTCTACAATAATTGAGGCTCAACATGAAGAAGACAAAGATTTTCAGCACTGGACCAATTAGCAGCACCATGATAGATGCAGAAGAGTTGTTAACAGTTACAGCTTGCTTGGCTGCACACCAACACTCTTGGCACCAGCAGTTAGGAGACCAAAAGACGAATTGCATTGGGAAAGACTGCTTTCATGGACCTCTCAAGAGTGCTGAAAAGAAACGATGCCAGTCTAGAGACCAAGGTGCCTAATCCAGTGATGGTCTTTGCAATTACTTGCTGTCCATCACAGAGCTGGACGGTGACTAAGGATGATAGAATGAGAATTGATGTCTTGAAGTTGTGGTGCTGGAGAGAAGAGTACTGAACCTACCATGGACCGCCAAGAGAACAAACAAGTATGTCTTGAAGAGGGTGGAAGCAAGCTACTCCTTGGGGGCAAGGATTTTGAAGCTCTATCTCACATATTTTGGGCTCTTGTTCAGGAGGGACCAGTCCTTGAAGAAGGACATCACAGGGAAGCACAGGGACAGCACAGGGAAGGAAGACTTTGGATGTGATGGACTGAGAGAGTAACTGGGGTAACAGGCATTGGACATAGTAAGACTAGGTCAGGACAGGGCCAGCTTCAGAGCTATTGCACATAGGGTTGCTATGAGTCACCGGCAAATTGATGGTACATGATGGTGACAACAACCAGCTATGCAGTTTTTATTTCTTTCTGTAATACCATCAGTTCTTGATCCTAAAATCTTGACCAATTCATTTTGGTACAGTGAATCTGTGTATTTTCTGTTGATACTTTTTTGCACTCTCCATTATTTTGCTCACAGAAACCTTCAATCTTGCAACTTTGAGGCTTGAATTTTTCTTCAGTTCTATCAGCCTGAGAAAGGCCGAGCATCCCCTCCTCTTTTGATTTTCAAGTTTTTGGCTATTTTCACTGAAATTCTTTACTATGACTATTGCAAGTGGCAATTCTTCAAATGTTAAGCCTGACATTTCCATATTATCCAGAAATTTCACTCCTAGGTATATTCACAAAAGAAATAAAAACTTATTCTCACATAAAAACTTGCACATAAATATTCATAGCAACATTATCTATAATCATTAAGAGGTGAAAACAATGTAAATGACAATTTAGTGATAGACAAGTAAAATTGATAGTATATTCATAAAACAGAATGTTATTGGACAATAAAAATAAATGCAGTATATATGCATGCCATAATATGATGAACCTTGAAAACATCACACTAGGTGACAAAAGTCAATCACAAATACCACACATAGTATGGTCCCACTTATATGAAACGTCTAGAGTAGGCAAATCTAAATAGTCAAAAAGTAGAGTGGAAGCTGACTGGAGTGAGAAGGCAGAAAGATTAATAAGAAATGAAGAGTGACCACTAATGTACATGAGAGTCTTCTGGGCTTAATAAAAATATTCTAAAATTAATTGTGATGATGGTTAAACAGCTCTTTGACTAAAGTAAATACCTTTGGATTGTATACTTCAAGGCATTTAACATGACATGTGAACTGTATTTCAGTAAGTTGATAAAATGTAAAAAAACTAATAGGATTCAGCTCCCCTTGGACTAAGATGAGAAACTTTTAACATCAAAGAGAATGACTGCAATGAGTTTAAGCATATGAAGTATTTTAAAAACATATAAATTCATAATTATTTTAAAAATCTGGAAGGAATGATAGAAATCATCATTTGGAACAGAGGAATCGGATTGACCCCACCTGCACTCTACATCACTCTTAGCTACTCAAAGTGTAACAGCTAGACATAATGTGCTTCCTGGAATGGCACATTAGGAAATACTCAGCTTCACCTTTGAAATGTGCCCACCAAACATTTACTCAGATCCACTGAAGATTCTAAATCACACTGAAAATGTGTAGGAAATGCAAGACCAAGAGGAAGCACACAGCTACATTTTAATATATGGAACATTTTAAGGCAGAGATAGCCCAATTTCTTCACAAATCAACAGCATGAAGGAAAGGAGACCATCATAGAATGAAAGGAAATTACAAGAGAGAAGCAAAATTAAATAGTATGAACCCCCTCCCCACCCCAATGTGCCAGAGACAGTGCAGACAGCACAGGATGGGGCAAGGTTCAGAGCCATTGGCCATAGGGTTGCTATGAGTCATAGATGACTCAATGGCAAATAATAACAACAACAAACCATATTGGGGATCAGGAAAGTAAGTTGTTTTTTGATCCATTGGTTGGAAGACCCACATGGTCTCAAATGGAACCTTGGATTTGTTACCACAATTTGCTTCAGTCTTCATAGAGCCTCCCCTGCACCCACTTCATGTCTTTTTTATTTTTTAAGGTCCAAGTCTCCTTTGAAGAGTTTTGGAAGTCCCAAGCTTCCTTTCTCCCTAACCTAGAGGTTAAGGGGAAACACCCACTAGCACCATCACTACCTAGAGAAAGGTGGGACTCACAGCATGGTCACAGCTTTCTCTACTTTCCAACATCCATTGACAGTTTTCTTATTTCTATCAATGGGCAGAAGTATACAGCCTTTGTACTTTCATTCTGTGTTTAAGCTTCCTCTGGCCTTTGCTATGGCCCTACAATACAGTATCAGTGTCTCTTGTTCTATCTTGTTTTAGTTTTGGCTGATTCATCGTAGTAACTGAGAAAACATGAAGAAAAAACAAAAAGAGGTTTAGAGTAGGAAAAAAGGTAAAATGGGGAAGAAAATAGCAAGAGAACAAGGAAAATGGAGCAATGAGTGGGGAAAAAAGATGAAAAGAATGAAATGACTTGGTGAAAGAAGGGCTCTGCTCCTACTTGGTTGAGCATCAACTTGTAATGGAATGAAGCATTATGTCTTCTTCTCCTTTATTATGGTACTTCCTGTACCTTATGGTGCCTTATAGTGGTTCTGGCTCAACGAAGAGGCACAAGGGAATTAAAAGATGTTGTTCATGCAATATTATTCAAAATGGGTGACTCTGGAGGACATTATGCTGAGTGAAATATCTCAGTCACAAAGGGACAAATATTACGTGGTGCCACTGTTGTAGAATGAGGCTGACACTGGGGTGAGGGTAAGACTGAGAAAAACTGGATATATTATGTTTACTGCATTGAAACTGATGAGGGAGAGAATAGTTTAAAATTAATATATTTTAGGGCATTTTGATTATCATAAGGGTGTGGAATGAGGATTGCAGAGTGTAGTATACTCGGGGTGGGGGTGGGGATGTGCGGGGTAGGGGGGGATTGTGTACCAATGAAGGAGTTTTTCTTTTGCTTTTCAAGAAAAGGAGTGAACTAGGGGTGGGAGTAGGGATGAGTAGGTGAGGAGAAAAGGGCAACAATGAATGAGTGGAATTCCAAAATCTCTGTAGATGTTCATTGAAATTAGTAATAATAAATATTAAAAAAAGATGTTGTTGTTCTGGGCCATTGAGTTGACTACAACTTGTAGATAGTGAATGATATTATTTTCAAATGATTTAAAATGTTTGAATACTGTTCCATCTTGAAAACTGATGTCTTTTTCTTTTCTTTCCCTACTCCAGGTACCTCGTAGAGGGGAGCTGTGGGATTCCATTTTACTGTGAAGAGTTGATGAAAAACCTTGACCATCATAGAGTATTTGTTTTCCAACCAGCGGTGTCTGAGGAAAAGGCAAATATGAACTGGAATAACCTGTTTAGTAAGTCCAACCATAATGTTTCCCCTAGCCCGTCCTCTCTTCTGTATCACTAAGTCCTTACACAGAAAAGTGGAGAGCTCTGGTGGCTTAGTGGTAAGAACTGCAATACCAACCTAAAAGCAGGCGACTCAAGTCCACGAGCTGCTTCACAAAAGAAAGATGGGCACTCTCCTCCCATGCAATTTATTGCTTCTGAAAATCCACTGGAGGGTCAGCAGTGAGTCAGTTGTGAGCTACGAGACAATTCATAACAATAATATCCAGACAAAGTGGCAAGAGTGAACTGTTCCACAGGTGGCTCCCTGTGGAGTCAGAAAGCTTGGAGGGAGATAATAGATCCAACAGTGTAGATGTTGAAAGAACTTAGCATTGCTTGAACTTACTGGACTGGGATAAACTGGGTGGTTGTTGATGGTCATCGAATCTAACACGACTCATACATAGTGACCCTATGAACAAAAGGCCTGAAGCCTTTTTATAACTATCGTCATTTATCAAGGGTTTCTAGAGGCATATTGTTTAGGAAGTGGATGCCACTCCTGCTTCCAAAGAACGTATATCTGTGGTTAATAGGACATAATGCTGAAAAATCTAAAACCCAGGGTTTCTGAAGCAAAGGAGATAATATCTGGGGTGGCTAGGAAGGATGTCCTTGTTTTCTTGAATTAAGATTAATAGCACAAAGTAAATCCTTAACAAAATTCATACTCTACTGAGACATTTTGAGTCAGGTTACATCAACAAATGAAACTTTTGAAAGTTTTCCTCCACTCACATAATTAAGGTCGTTTGATTTTGAAGAAGCTTTTCCCTAGTGATATTTTGAGCTTCTTCCAACCTGATGGACTCATCTTTCAGCATTTTATTAGGCTATGTTCTACTGCTATTCATAAGATATTCATCTATCTGTCTATCTATCTATCTATCTATCTATCTATCTATCTATCTATCTATCTATCATCTATCATCTATCTATCTTCTTAGCCATGAATAGCTAATACTTCTTCCTGGTCTGTCTTATTCTGGAAGTTCTGATGAAACCTGTCCGTCATGTGAAATGTCAATAACATAGCTTCCCGAATCACGCCACAGGCCAACAAACTGCCATATGAGTGGTAATCTCTGATAGTAGTCACATCCCAATTAGAGCACAAAATATGATTTTATCTGAATGTGGATATACGAATGTACATACAAGTAAATTTTACTATTAATATATAATATACATCCTGATGATCTGACTCCAAATCTAATACTTATAAATTGAATGTACTATGAAAGACTTCCAATCCTTATTGCCAGTACTTGAAAGGGACCTAACTAAACAATACATGTAGTGTAGATTTTCATATATGATATCCATCTTAAACTAATGTAGAAAATCAGAGCTTATGAGCCAGGGTAAAGACTCTCAACTCTTCTGCCTTCTTATCTCCCTATAGAGAATTTCACTAAGCCAACAGAGGAATTAATTAAATATGTTCCCAATATCGAAGATGAGGATAGAGAAGTCTGTAATATTGCTAGTGGCGTTAGACTGAAAAATTTGTCACCTCCAGCATCACTAAAAGGTAAAGAAAATTTTACATGGTATTGATACTTCAGTACTTAGACTCATCTTTTGTTTTCTCTAGGATGACTGTCTAAAAATGGAGGAAGAAAGATAGTAAGAAAATTAGTTTGGGACATTGTTGTTGTTGTTATTACTGCTGTTATTTTGCTTTTTGCTGCTTGTGCATGGCAGTCCGGATGGACAAGTAAAGGGAAGTTTTTGGGGTCATGTGCTTTTTTGGAGTCGTGTTAATTTTCGAATGACTATTCCTTGAATGACACAGCAATCTTTTGTCTATTTGCTGAACTGAACATCTTGGTGCATTGTGATGCTGCACACTGTTCCATAATCTTGTCAAATACCATAATTGTTACCCATTATGGACAGTGTTTGGATGAGATTCCAGACTAATTTATGCAGGGAAGCAGGAGTGGCATCCACTTCCTCAACTAGATGCCTCTGGAAACTCTACAAACTCTAAACTCTATAAATGTACAGAAATGATGGTAGTTACAGAACACAGTTATGTACAGAAATTATGTTAGTCATAGAACAGAGTTTAGGTCTTTTGTGTAAAACTTACTCTCAGTCGTATTTGGCTTGACGACATTTACGCACTGCTAACTGAAAATAGTGCTGTTATATCTGGAGGAACACTCTTCCACTTTGTACATCAATCATTGTCAATGTGCAGTATGAAGTAACCTGGGTGGCTGTGATGCTGAACCTTGTACCACTGGTATCAAATACCAGAATGACTTCCCAATGTAGAGAGTGTTTGGTGGAGCTCCCAGTTGTAAAACAGGTTTGGAAACAGGAGTGTCATCTACTTCCTAAACCACATAGCTCTGGAAACTCTACGAACTTGGAGAAATGATTAAAGTTATGGAAAGACATTAGGTCTTTTGTTCATAGAGTCGCTATGAGTCACGCTTGACTCAACAGCAATCAACAACAACCAGCAGGCAATGTAAGACCTCAGCATAAGCCTACTTTTTCTACTTTAAGTTGTGAGGCACCTTCTTCTGTGCATGTCCTTGGGTCTAATTTGAACAAAGGCTTATTTGACTGCATAAAAGAATGAGATGTCTTAAACCTTTGATTAAGTGATACCGACATAATAATGGAGAAAATATGATGCTGGGACTTACTCTGCCATTGTCTTTTATGAGAAAGAAATGCTAGTGAGGAATTTATATCAAGGACATATTATTACTCTTTTAAAGTTCCTTTTGGCCTCCCCTTCTTATTTCCTTTCAGGGGGGAGGTCTGTCATTTTGGGGATGTAGCTTTCTAGTAAATCTATCATTACTGTTTTATTATTATTTTTTTATTTTTTATTTTATTAGTTTTAATGAACATTTACAGAGATTTTGGGTTTTCATTCATTTCATTGTTGCACTGTTTTATGTTTTTATATAACTTTCAAGTAATGTCCTAATATGCATTTAGCATCAATCCTACCTGCCATCTAGAAATAATGTAGCGCTTAAAAGAATGTCATAGAGACACCTCAAGATTCTCAGTTTTCAAGAGTGTTATTTATGTTTTATTCACTCTATCTAGCAAATATTATACAGCGTTTACTAAAATTGAGATGATACAGAAAAGATTAGCATGGCCCCTGTGCAAGGATAGCACCCAAATTCTTTAAGCATTCTATATTTTTTTATGGAATTAGGTCAGTCAGATATGGTGAGCTTGGTGGAGGATAGGCAGCTTTCAGAGCTAATGTACATAGGGTCACCATGAGTTGCAGGCAACTCGATGACACATAACAAAATCAACAACATGGAAAAGTTAAATTCTGTACCTGATGTGTGAGGTAATAAAAAACATTATTAGTCAAAGTGTCCAGGAAGCCACATGACCTGTAATACTGCAGCTTAGATGAGAAAATGGGGTTGAAGATATGACATTTAATTGGTCATGGCCATAGAGATGATAATGTATAATGTGAGTATTGACAAGTATTTATTGCAAGTAGATAGAAACCTAACTTCTCAGCGGTTTCAGAAAACAGTATAGTCTGAAAGGAGTCAGACAAGAACCAAGTAAGAACAAGGTAACAAGGTCTGTCCCTCCTCCCCGCTTTGACTTTCAATACCTTTTCTCTCCTCAAATGCCCTCAGCTCAATTTAACACCAAACAGAACACCTAGGCATTGATCTCATTTTTGTTTAGTCATTGTATCATGAGTATCTGTAGACTATAGCATCTTTTTTTTTTTAATTCATTTCAATGAACATTTACAGAGATTTTGGATTTCCATTCATTCATTGTTGCACTTTCCTTCCCGCTCACCCCTCCCCACCCCCAGTTCACTCTTCTCTTTGAAAAACAAAAGAAAATTCCTTTGTTGGTATACAATCCCCCCACCCCCCACCCTACCCCCCCAGGGTATACTCCATTCTGCAACCTTCATTCCAGACTCTTATAGCATCTTTACATTTTGTACTTTCAGCACAAATTTATCTGAGAAGTAGGTACTAAATAAACACTTTAAAAAAAAATTCTTTCTTTTTCATTTCAATGAACATCTACAGAGATTTTGGAATTCCATTCATTCATTGTTGCACCCTTCTCCACCCCCCCACCCCGTTTGCTCCTCTCCCTGAAAAGCAAAAGAAAAACTCCCTCATTGGTACAGAATCCCCCCAACACCTCCCCCAATCCCAAATATAATCCACTCTGCTACCCTCATTGCGTACTCCTACTATAAACATAATGCCCTAAAATATAATACTTTTAAACTATTCTCTCCCCCATAGACTTCAATGCCGTAAACATATTTCGTCCAGTTTTTCTCAGCCTTACCCCCACCCTGATGCCAGCCTCATTCTACAACAGTGGCACCATATAGCATTTGTCCCTTTGTGACTGAGATACCTCACTCAGCATAATGTCCTCCAGGGTCACCCATTTTGAATAATATTGCATGAGTTCCTTGTTTTTCAATGCAGCATAGTATTCCATTGAGCGGATATACCACAGCTTCTCTACCCATTCATTTGTTGATGGGCATTTAGGTTGTTTCCAACTCCTTGCTATCGTAAACAAAGCCGCAATAAACATGGGTGTGCACATATCTACTTGGATGTCATTTGTAGTCTCTTTAGGGTATATTCCCAGTAGTGGAATAGCTAGGTCAAATGGTATCTCTATTTGCAACTTTTTGAGAAAGCACCACATCGCTTCCCACAGTGGTTGCACCATTTTACACTCCCACCAACAGTGAATAAGGGTTCCAGTCTCTCCACAACCTCGCCAGCATTTGTTGCTTGCTGTTCTGTTAAATTTTGCTAGTCTTACTGGAGTGAGATGATATCTCATGGTTGTCTTTATTTGCATCTCTCTCAGATCTAGGGATTTTGAACAGTTCTTCATGTGCTTGTTGGCCGTCTGAATAACTTCCTTGGTGAAGTGTCTGTTTATTTGGTTTCTGTAAATAAGAATGGTAGAGCATTAGCAGTTGCCCATTTCTAGGAAGTATTTATTCAGATAAATGAGGATTTCCCTCTTGCATCATTTTCCTACAGAAATCTCTCTGGTCCAGCTGGACAGCATGAGTCTTTCCCATCAGATGTTGGTGAGATGTGCCGCCATTATTGGTCAGACCTTCACTACAGAGTTGTTATTTGAGATCTTGCCTTGTTGGAACATGAAGATGATGATAAAAGCCTTGGCAACCCTAGTGGAATCCAACATCTTCGATTGCTTCCGGAATGGCAAGGAGCTCCGCATGGCCCTGAATCAGCATCCAGCCTCATTTGAGGTTCATTTTCGCTCCTTGTCTCTGAAGAACAATGAAGGTGCGGACGAATAGAGTCTGAACGCGGCTCATTTAGTAACAAGCAAGTGAAGATACTTTGCCCATTGCCTGGCTGACAACCCCTTCTGTTCTCTCTAGTTCTTGATCAAGAGGATGAGCTTCGAGAACTAGAAAGTGAGGTGATTGAGTGCCACATCATTCGATTCTGCAAGCCTATGATGCAGAAAACAGCCTATGAATTGTGGCTGAAGGACCAGAAGAAAGCCATGCACTTGAAATGTGCTCGCTTTCTAGAAGAAAATGCTCACCGATGCTACCACTGCAGAAATGAGGACTTCATCCCTTACCATCACTTCACAGTGGACATCCGACTTAACACTCTGAATTTGGACACCATTAAGATGATGGCTATGAGTCATGGAAATGAATGTAAGTTCATTCCTTTGAAAACTAGTGCTCAGGTGGGAGTAGATCTAGAAGCAATGGGTCTGGATCATGAGCGTTTGGGTCTCTTGTGGTTATAGAAAAAGATGAGACACTGACAGCATAGGTTGGAGAACACACATATAACTCAGTTTAGCAAAGCAAGTCTCACTGACAGGAGAAAATACAACGGATAAATTCTGTCACCTTGATCCTGACATCTTATTTCTACATCCACAGAGTAGAAAAAAATGGCACCTTTGTATGCCTCCTTTCTTCTGAGATCCTACAGACACATTATCATCTTCTTTCTATTTTTCTTTTGATTTTTACAGATCCTCTTTGAAGTAGGGAAACTGACATTTTCTTTTCTTTGTTAAATGAAGAAAATTGAGAACTAAAAATATGATTTAGTCAATGGTAATGATATAATGACCAAAAAACATAAATGGTATTTTCTTTTTAATAACTGAGGGGTTTTTTTAACAAGCATGTGTTTTTCTTAACTTGGGCAATTTCTAGACACTAAAACAAAGAACACATGTCTATGTTCATAAATTCTGAGTTAGAAGAGAGACTGACAAAAAAGTAAGAAGATTAATAAATCCCTCCATGGGCCTTGTAGGCGTTAGTAGATAGTTTGAAGTTTATTCTGTCATGAGGAAGAAGAGGAGCCCTGGGAGTGCAGAGGTTAAAACACTTGGCTATAAAATAAGCAGTCATTCAAACCTACCAAGCAAATTACAAAATTACTTAGCATTATTATTGACTGTGTGTAACAAAGGCCCAACGGTTATTGTTGGCTGCCGTCAAATGGGTGCCTCTAGATTTTGTCAGCTCTAATCTTTTAAAAAGCAGCTTGCCAAGTTTTTCTTTGATAGAGCTGCTTGATGAGTCTAAATTGTCAACTTTTGGGTGAGCAGCCGATTGCAAACCACTTATAATTCCCAGACTCAAGACACAACTCTTATTAGGTGCCCTAAGTTGCTTCTGACTGACCCATAGCAATACCATGTACAACAGAAAAAAGCCCTGTCTGATCCTGGGCCAGCCTCATCAGCGCTGAAACCCATATTTTTTTTAATATTTTAATTTCTTTCTTTTTCATGTCAATGAACATCTACAGAGATTTTGGAATTCCATTCATTCATTGTTGCACCCTTCTCCCCGCCCACCCC